ATTTTGATGCATTTTCGGCCTTAAAATGGCCGCTATTCGATTATCGTTAATCGTATCATGAGAAAAATGCATGTGCATATGTCCCATATAATGTGTGATGTATGAGTGAAGTTTGAACTTAATCGGTCCATGCATGTTCGAGATACATGTGATCACGGACGCACGGACGCACACAGGGCAAACCATAAGTCCCCGTTTTCGGACTACGTCCGAATGGGGACTAATAAAATTATAACTCATTCCTTAGCTGACTATGAAATTATGATTCGAACTAGATCACTTTCTACTGTGCTGGGAAATGAATATAATGTGAACGAACTAATTCCATCCCCGTAATTTTTGCAGTCATAAATGTGTACCTTACATTTACCTTTATAAGCGTGCAATGTTTTATGTTTTGCATTTGACTCGTTCGTACAGTGACATACATATTTGTACATAACCGTCAGATAGTTGTGATAACAAATTAACAGTCTCCATGGTCTGTCATAATCTGTCAAAGTCTGAATTTCTTTTGTTTACACGGATGCTCTTATTTAGACCTACATACAAATCATGGAATAGACTGTTATTTTGTGTGTCAAGGTCCCGCGGCAGTTACATATGACCTCTGCGTAGAGGATTATATTTATGTTTTTTGATATGCTCTGCTTTCCGCCATAATTACACAACCCGTGAACATTCTGATTGATGTGCACCGCAGTGCATTAACTTTTTGTATTGTTGAACGTACAGGGTCATGCAAACGAAAAACATAATTACGATAAAAACGACAACGTTCATTAAAAATAACATCCAGTAAGTTATTCGCTACCAAACCTTCAATCAATGCATATCTCCAAAATGTGTTTTTTAAGGATGTAGTAGAGGTTATTGCTATTGCAATTGCATAGCACATTTCTGAAGTAACATATTCTTTGAATCCCATCAAGTTATATATTTTTACAAAGCTAATTTTCCATATAATATGAAATAAATATTCCAACATCACGTGATCATTGTGCAAATAGAAAGGTGTTATTTTTGAAGAAACCAAAATTAGGCCACATAAATGATGCTTGTGGTACTTAGAAATACTATAAAAGGTTTGAATTCAATTTCCCAGTTCGTCTACTGTTGCGTGCGTGACCTAGATTTCGCGTGCCAGATCTCATTAGCAGCTATCAAAGAATACCTATGCCAAAAATCACCATCATGGAGCAGCTGGGAGTCGAGATCACCTTCTATACTAATTCCAAATATTGATGTTTTGTTATGCGTGAAAATCACAAAAAAAACATAATAAAACACACTGTGTCTCAGATTTACTCAAAATTGATTACCCCCTTAAACCATCGCTACAATTCTTTTTTCTAGTTAAATGCATGCTTTATATATTATGTGGAATGTGGAAAAAAAAATTGTAAATGAAAGAAAAAAACCCTCTACTGCATTCTTAACTGACTTTTTACCAACAAAACAAAAAAATCATACACATAATCGCGTTCATGAATATGTAACAGTGAAGAACGTTACGTAAAACAGTATGCTACCCTCCAAACAATATTGCATATTGCAGCGTCTGCCTGCCACAGGGAATGTAGATTAAGCTCAAATACGGACAAAATCGCAGCTGTCACAAAAACCTTAAATTAGGTCATTCTGTATTAAAATACGTAATCACAATTGTGATCAGTATGTTATAACATTTAGAACTTTGAGGGCGGATGAAAAAGATTTTATAATGGGTAAACTACCTTTAGTTTTGGAGTTTCTAGGCAGTTAGCTAGGAAATACCCAAGATGCTTTACTAAATGTTACATGTTGTTACTAGTATTTTCTCTGTTATAGACACTGTACTGTTGATATTTAGTTACCATGTAACTTATACCCACATTGCTACATGTTTACAAAACAGTTTTGGTTGGTCCAGTTAGCTCTTTTTGGGGGTTGTTTGTAGCTAGTGAACTTAACAGTGTATGAATTGGATTATTTGTTCGAGGGTATTAACATGTTGTATATTACCTTTAGGTTGAATTCATTTATGAACTTACCCAAGAAGCACTAGTAGTTTCTGCAATTGCCGGTTGTATTTCAATCACGGAAAACAACAGTTCAATAATTGACTCTAGATTGACGGAGGCCCTCCAAAACCTAAGTTGACACCATACAAAGACATAATTGATTTGAAATATCGCTGATAGATTGGTTTCATCATGAACAGAAAACTACTAACACTTTTGTTGCTGATTGGAATCTCCACTTTGGCGCTTTATTATACTTCCCGACAACGGAAGCCCAAGCGGTTTCGTTCAATTGCAAGAGCACGTCACGCCGCACAAGCACATACAACAAAAAAGATGAATATATCTTCTGATATATTCAATACTACACAAAACCCCCACCAAGGTACGTGTTAATATCAAATGTACATTGAAGTGAAATGATATGATATCTACAAAAATGGGTATTGTTTCATAATATATTTCTGTTTTTAGCAACTATAGCCTGAGTGATATTTTACACATAATGGAATTTCAAATCTGGCAAAAAATGAATCTATCATTATCTATAAAATTGTCCACTATTCGTGATATCCCTTATTAGCATATTACTTTTTATTATATTATGAATTATTATACATTTGTCACCATAACGCCATGAGATACAGCGTGCCATAATTTTGCGGTATTTTACGGGGTATTTTCATTCTACCATATTAGGAAATGCGAATTTCAAATATGGAACGATTACTCTCAAACAAACATGGCGACCACCAGGGTTTGACCGGACTCCTCACATAGAAGTTCGCTGATTCTGTTCTAAACATTTTAGATTTAGGCATTCCCCTGATGTATCCTTGGAAGGAAAAGATGTATAATAATAAGGTTCATACGATGATACCTCAAAGTATGCACTTCGCGTCGGTCGATACTCCCGCTGTACTGTCTTCGTGCATACTTTGAGGTATCCTCGTAATAACCTCATTGTACTACCAGTACAGGTTTATGAAAATATCCACCCTTTTGAATATACGTTAACACGTTGACGAATAGTTTAACCTAGAGTTTAACATAAGTTTTTTTTTCATTATTGTCAATCAAGAATATGGGAACAAGGTCTGTTCCGTCAACTTTCTTGATTCGTCAAATGAAGAAAGACCAGCGGTTTGGTTAACGAGTTTTCCAAGATCTGGTAACACGTGGACACGTCATTTACTTGAATTGGCTACAGGGATATATACTGGTTCAAGTTACCATGCTAATGGCTTGTATAATGCTGGTAAGTCATGAGTAGGACCTTTGTATAAATATATCCGGGCTTGGTCTTTACTTGAAACATGTTTTTGCTTCGTGAAATCAATGTGTGAACGGAAATCTGTCAGAAGGAGACTAAAACGATTAGTGTATTTGTGCGTGCATTGATGTCTGTTTAAGGGGTTTATCACACATCGGTCAAGAGGCGGTTTGGACTTTATATATACATATAATTGTAAACACTGGTTTTATACAAAGCAGTTCATACGAGGTACTATTCAATATACAGGTTTTAAAGGGGAATTTGACAGTCCACAACTAGGACGAGAGTTGATATATAAATGCCATAGATTTACCAACAGCATGAAGTTTGGTATACTGCTCATTAGAAATCCGTACGACTCGCTTATCTCGTTTTATCAATATCGGACGATACGACATCTTACTCTCGAGTCATACCGAAACAGTAAGTGAAACATTAATCAACATTCAATTCAAATAGCGTGTGTGGCTGGTGAAATGTGACGTGACGTGACGAAGTGCGATGCAGCGTGAAGTGATGTAGTTTGCATTTGCCGCATAGGAGTGGCTGGTATTTTGTGCTATTAAGGCGTTACGTTGTTTTGCGTGGTGAAGGCGCGGCGTGGCGTTTTGTGGTATAGACCGAACGTGACATGGCTTGGCGGGGCGTGACGCTGCGTTGTATAAGCGAGTCGTGGCATATAAGCTAAAGTGTGCCCTCACATTTTGAAAAATAGGCTGTCGTTTGCTATTTTGTTCAATTGGTCATTCTATCGTCAAACTAACGTGGATCAGATAGATTACCAACAAAATGTCATAATTTATTGCTGCAAATACCATATTTGTAGAAAATGTATCTTTCCAACCCTAAACTAAACTAAACTTCAAATGGGTAATCCAGAACATACATCAACCTCGAACAAAGGGTACAAGCAAAGCAACTACATTTGTTATTAATTACAAAGTATTAATATTATAAGCATTATTGATCGTTGATATCATTACAAGCCGGTAGACTGGTTGGTGATCCGCTCCGCTCAAAAACAAGCGACATGTTTTTAACTGTTTCCATGGTGTGACATAAACGTGAAGCTAACGTCGGTTTATAACTTAATGCGCCCCGTATACGAAGTTCGCAAAAACCATTCAGTCTTTAGAAGTCACTCAGTTTATTACTAGGACGTATTCTGCTGTTACATTTATTATTTCCAACTGTTTGGGATAGTATTTTCTAGAATGAAGGCAGCATTTACAGTTCGTTCAAAGTTGCTTCCGTTGATACAGTGTAACAATGTCGGCGCCGGCGATCTCCTATCAGTGCGCAACGTAGCCAACATAAAAAGCATGGTCATTTGAACACTGGTATTATAAAACCACAGTCAGCTGGCATCGGTGTCGCTGGGTGTATATGAGAGAGGGAAGTTGTACAACCAAAATTATTCTCTATCAATAATCCGCCCAAAACAGGAACATTTCTACTAATTCTTGTGTTTTTTCGACGTTTTTCGAAAAACCTGCGATTAGGCTGTTAGGTTTACCCGTAGAAGTGTGCGCAATAAGAAAAACATGAAGAGTAAGACACCTAATAAACGTCGCAAAGAACTATAATACTGGAAGTTTATTTGGACCTTTAATGGGAACATTTTTATTCGTAAAGAAGACCGCACGCCAGCCATTATTATCAACACGGAAAGAGACCTGCAACGTTTTATATAGATCTAGTTCGAGTTGACGCCTAGCGTCCTGTTACCAATGTTACGCTGTTGATGGACGACAGCCAATCGTTGATAAATTTTGTTTCTAAGTCGTATAATCTAGAGTCGTTTCAGGCTAATATTGCTAAACATTAGGTCTATAGACGCTCATTTTGATGAGTTCTTATCTTTTTTGACGTCGCTTGAGTTTTGTTTTCCTATAGTATGTTTATCTGAAACCTGGTTGTCAGAAAGTTCCCCTGTGTGTGTTTTCCAAATTCCTTCCTATAATTTTCTATTTCAAAACCGCCGTGAAAGTAAAGGTGGTGGAGTCGGCATTTATATTCACGAAAACATACCATTTACTACTATTAAATCCAATGATCTGGATATCAATCAATGTGAATCTATTTTCATTGAAATTTGTCTGCACGGTAAGAAATATGTAGTTCAATTTACCGTAAGCCAGGTACTTCACTTAACGAGATTTAGACAACTATTAACCAATTTCGATACTTCCGGTTTTCAGTAAAATCTTTGAATGTGCTGTCAATAAACAGATTATGTCATTTATTGAGAAATTTGATATTTTGTCAGACTTACAATTCGGATTTCGCAAAAAAAAAAACGAAGTACAAAACTGGCTTTATTTGATCTTGTAACTGACATCACAAACGATTTAGATAAAGGATATATTGGGTTTGGTATTTTTATTGAAAAAAAAAAGCATATGGATACTGTTGACCATGATATTTTACTTAAAAAATGAAGTCTTATGGATTTAGAGGGGTGGCATATAATTGGTTCAAAAGTTACTTATCAAATAGGAAACAATATGTTAACATTAACAATACAGTTTCAGGAAAGCTTGAAATTAAATGTGGTGTTCCCCAAGGCTCAATTTTAGGCCCTTTACTGTTTTTGTTGTACATTAACGACATTTGTAATTCTACTGACGTCTTTAGCTTTAAACTATTTGCGGATGATACAAGCATATTCCGCTTCTTTAATTCTCGTCAAATTAATTTGACTGACATTCAAGGTGAATTTAATAATGTTATATTATGGTGTAAGTCAAACAAACTTACCATTAATGCAGATAAAACTAGTTTCTCTATTTTCAAAACAAATAGGAGAGAAGTAAAAATCACAAACAGTTTAAAATTAATTCTATTTCTTTGAGTCAGGTTTAGTCTTTTAGTTATTTGGGCGTTCTTCTTGATTCTAGTCTCTCCTGGAAATTTCATGTTCAGAAATTAATTAAAACGATAACTCCCATTGTGGGTATTATTTCA